TTTAGAGCTGACTGAGAAACTATTTATTTGACAGAGACCAAACTTTAATGTACTCAAAAACCTGAATTTTTCAAAATCTTAACGATTACGATTAATATCCTCTTTTGTACAGGACGTTTGTAGCCCAGTAGAGGATGGGTGGGCATGGGCTGTTGGTTATACGTGAGTCCACTTTAAGCACCCTATGATTTTTTTTAAGGGGGGAAAATCATCGAATGACTGCTCCCGCCTGGGTGAGGTGAGGTAAGTGTCAGACTCTTACTGACTAAAAACCACCCCGTTCCTTCTCCTGCACGTCGAGCCGGAGCCCCGGTTACCCGTTAGGTTCTCCGCGACACCCTATGATCTGCCATCTCATTTCCCTTCGAAGAATAATTTTCTTGTTGTTTTAACAGAAAATTATGAAAATATGTAAAAAAGATCCTGCACTTGAAACGTGTTTAAATCTTTTCCGTTAGTCTTCAAGTGAGGTTTTATTAAAACCTCTTCCATTTTTTAAATCCATCACTCATGTACCAAAACCCCAATTCTGACCTTGGAATTAACCGATTTTATCGGTCACGGTCACAAAGGTCGAAGTTTATCTTACGATTTCTGTTTAGGACTTGTAGTTTAATTAATTTTATCAACTGAGTTGTAGAATCTATTTAACAGATTTTAAAGTTTAAGAGCCAAGGGATTTTTGACTTAAAAGTGTAGAGTTGAGGTATGTATTTGCCTAGTTCCGTTCTCGTGTTTACAAATATATAACAAAAGAGAAATTTAAATAAGCATTGTTGTTATTTATATTTAAATGCTTTATGTAGGTACTTAAATACCTAACAATAACAACAACATTGTAAGTCTTTTCATGTTTAGCTACCTATACCTACAGAGATGACCTTTTCCTTCACCTACACGTCTTATTCAACTCCACTGAACAGTTACACACGAACGAACCGACAGATGAACAAAGATCGATGCCTTACCACTTTCCTTTTCATATTTGAATTGTAGATCAACGGTGAATTTAATTAACTAATTAATATTAACAGTACCGGTAGCGGGAGAGTTAATTATAAAATGTGACACGAAGAACGGCCTATCACATATCATTTGTCCTCGTAATGGTGTTCACCGCGTATGGTGTTCACGACTCCATGACCGAATGTCTCTAATTATTGTGCCGAGTGCACTAAATGGCAGGTGTACGACACTACAAGTTTCATTCGCTCGTTCCGGCGGCTGAGAACTATCATTAGTGCCTCCTTAGCAGACCAATAGTCCCCGCCCAGAAGAAAATGCATCGCATCAACTTATCGACCGTATCTCGACTTTTTATCAAGAAACCTCAATCAAATTATACACCTTACTTTGCACACTTATATCAATTACATCTGCAATTGTGGCTTCTGTAGTCGATAATGTTTTTTGTAATGCAGAAATATTGTTATCTTAGATCTAGATTGCAATTGCGTTGTACGTAGATAATTATCTAAACTTTACAATAATCTGTTTAATATTAGGCCTTTGAAGAACAACTTTCTTGGCTTATAAAATAATCTAACAAGCAAGAAGAAGAAAACAGTAAACAAATCTACTTAAGCTTTAAACTTCTCAAGCAACATAAAACTTCGCAATAACTTCCACAAAAGCGTCTGCTTATCTCCTTAACGTGTGGCGCAAAGAAAACAAAATGAGCGAAAACAAGTCGGCGTCATATCAATTAGCGCGGAGCAAACAATTACTTTCCGTCACTTGCGAGACACTCGACAAACTTTGTTTTGTGGTTTACGTAACAAACATATAACCATGATATTTGCGTAATCTGTTGCGACTCATTCATCGTGTAAACTTGTTATTTCTCGCGTCGTAAATCGACACCAAAATAGGGAAACCACATTGTAAACAACGAGCAGAGAAAGCAACAAGTCGCGGGGCGGGAGCGCGATCGCTCCTGCACGACCTCTTCCGGCCTTTTACGACATTTACGATACCATCTATCTTATCCTCCACCCACGAGCTCTACGGATCAGATCCACTGATGCGTAATAACCCCAATTTTCATATTAAACATACGCAGGCAACTTTCAGGAAATTGGCGCCGTTTGAACTCTGTCAAAGCATAATAATTGCTCATACACCTTAACCCATTGCAGTCAAAGCCTTGTTAGACTAGCATACTCATACAAAGTACGTATGACGTGCGCTTACTACGCCGAACTTGCAAGCTTTGCATACGACAAAAACAAACAATGGTGTACCATTCGCATGTTGCACGGGGCGACACTGTGTGAGAGAGTTGTCGTTCCGTCTGTAGTGACGTTCTGTCGCTTGCAACGGTGGCAAGTCAGCGATCATCGTGGCGAGGGATTTGTTTTGGTGTCGAGTTGTCGAGATCAAGCCGCGTGGCGACGCGGCGCAGCGCGCTCTACAGACTGGCGCGCAATTCGCCAGAAAGGGACAGGATGCTATGCACGCATGCGCGAAAACAAACGCGGGAAGTGTTTTCTAGAAACGACTTCCGCAAACATGCGCGATAGACAATAAGACGTGGGCATCATTTGATTTTTGGCAGTTATAAACTATTTAAATTATCCTTGCTTAATGAAATAATAGAGAAACCACCAGAAATCTACAAAACATCACATCAACTTACGTCGTACAATATCTATGTTTACAATAACTAGAGGTAAAGTTGGACCAGATGTTGTCCGGCTGCGTGTTTTCTCGAGAGAATGTTATTGTAAGTGAACGCACTTATTCATGAGGAGATCAAAATTGGGGTATCTACCGTTACGTAAGATGGAGTTCATGTCTGAGGAACATAAACATTGGATATTTTTCTTCTTTTATTTCTTGGGGTAAGGCTCAAAAAATCTACAACTGCTGTTACTACTACGTACCTACATACAATAAGCTATATTATTACACTATGCTTTAAGTATATATATATTATATTGTCAAACACTATCCTAAATTCCTTTTATATCGCCATATAGTTTTGACGCATTGTCTTTACGTACCGTTTCCAGTAACAGTAGAAGTTAGAGCAATGTGATCTATGTTGCGCTTACCTTGGCTGCCCTTGACGTCTTAAGTCTCAATATTTCATGAATTAATAAGTTTTAGGGCAGTATTTACGTCCTAATGTTTTCCGTTATAGTCTTAGTTATCGCTATAGTAGTAATAGTTCCTGTTTAGAACATGAGTAATCCGTGATGTTACACTCCTGGACTAATATGGGCCTCCTCCGTCAGAGGTCGCTAAAATCTCCACATATAGCAGACCATAATGTCAGTTTAAAAGGTATGTACAATCAGGTATATATCATAGAATACTGGTACCTGGTGTCTGTCAAATGCGTAATCCCTTAGTCGGCAATACAGCGTCTATAATTTCCCATCATAGTTTCTATCTAAAGGCGTCTTAAAAGCAGCTGACACAACTGCCTATTATAAGTCGTAATGTCTTCATTTAGATAAATTATAGGGTCGCTCTTTTGCTCATTACAATCATTATAAGCCGCATATTTCCTTTGCACCTGGAGTAGTTTATAGTATTCCGTGTCTAAGAATATTTCCCTGTAATTGCGTAGGTCCGGGAATTTTAAGTACATGTTTTAATGATCGTTTAATTGTGGCCACATTCTGGATTCTAATTAAAGGAATGCAAGAGTATCGTATCTTGCATTTTCTCAAGTGTCAAATCCTACCTAGTTAGATTTTTAATAGACCATAATAATATCTATATTTTGTTATAGTCTATGTTTGACTTTTTATACGATTTTTTGATATAAAATTAAAAACCATTTAGATAGGGAGAGATCTAGATGATAAAACGTCTATAAATACTTCCTTGTTTGTTTACACAGGAAAGGGACTATCAGAATTGAAAATAATTCGACACAAACGCTTCAGTTTTTCTTTACAACCAGGTAAATATTAATGCAAACTAAAAAATTCCTGACGGTAACCTGAGTAGGGAAAATTATTAAATTACTCAGGAACGGAGATTTTCCCTCGTTTTCGTCGAAGAGCGTAAGTAGATCATTAGGTCAAGGATGGTACGTCCCCGGAGCCAATTCCTTGACTAACTTGGCTTCATTATTAACTAGTTTCCAAAGTTAAAATGTTCTTTGTTATGACCACAATTTATTGTCCAACTTAGTAATTGGGATTAATAAAGCAAACATAGGTTGAGGCGAAGTTGAGTCGTCAGGGAGTTTTAGATGGATAATTGGGGCCGTAATTTTTGGGTGACCAGGCTTAATTCTGGTCATATATTCTTCTTTTTATGTGAAGACGCTGATTGAATTTTTATGTTTGTTACTTCGGATTAATGAAACGATATATTATAAGATAAAGGAGATAACTCAAAGCAATATCTACAACGCTTAGTGTTGACACATTGTACATATTAAAAATTAAATAAACAACACCATACTAAACGTCGGCGTCGTCTCACTACACGAGTGCGTATACTGACTTAAGTACGCGAGGTACTCAAACGGATACGCTCCTAAAGAAGATAACATCTACATTAGCAACGATAAGAGGGCAGTTTTTCTCGAACCCCCGTTTAAAATGATGTCTTGAATCTTGAAGGTCGTTTAGCATGACCGAGATCACAGATATTACCCTATATATAAGTGTAGTGGATGTTTTACGAGGCATTCACTCGACGGCCACCGAGATAATTTGCGTGAATGTGTGATAAAATCGCTGGGACCTTATTTAAGGCTCTGCACCGACGAGCTGCCCCATTGTGCTGTTTAAGCGACGGTTAAGTGGTGATTAGGAGGAGTACACATCTGTGATACGAGCACAGATAAATATCAATAAGTAAACACGGGTTACAGTGTATTTATGGCGTTATAGCCGTGTGTTTTAAATTAGCATTCTGTTTGTTATGTTCAAAGTAAATTTTGTTTTATCTGATTTTGAGGTACAGCAATTTACTGCATGTTTTATTTATTTTACCATAAATATGGATTTGTGTGAACAAAAATACAAGCTTACCTTCCATCAACGGAATTTCGACGCGGAAGCTTAACTTACCTGAAACAAAAATCAAATATTCTAATTAAAGAGCTCTAACAAATCTGAATTAACGAACTGTGAAGGGAATTTACATAAAATAAATAAATGGTTGTATAATAAAGAGCATCGGTGTAACTATTCGATTAAGCCATGGACACCGACGGTTTGCGAGATATTCGGTTTTATTTCCGATTGTCGGACCGGGCCGTGCCGTTTCGAAGCAAAACGCTTAATTGAAAAATGCCTTTAGTTTTGTAGTTTTCAATCTACTTTTGTTTCCCCGTGTTGTCTATGAACATTGTGTAAATCGTTTTTATTGGAGACCAATAAATGGTGTTGTAGATAATAAAATAAATAAATATGTTTGCTGCCACAAATGTCAATATTAGTCATATTGTTTGTTTTGTACATATTTTAGTTTGAATGGTATTTGAATTTATTAAATTACGGAGGAGAATTAGTCGTATTTTATAATAGATATGTTTAAACATTTTAATAAATAATTGTTTGTTCAGTAAACAAGCTACATAATACATGACGCTTTTATACGTCACTGTCTCAGAAAAAATCTGAGAGGTCAGAATAGGGAACGGGTATTTGGTCATTCCCAAACGAGTTTGAGGTTAGGAGTCTCTCTTAGCCCTAACAAATTTTTGTGTCTGGACTTTATTGCCTACATATTTTATTCATCACAAGCGAATGATGTCTTGCCTTAGATAGAAAGCATTCTGAAGGAAATCTCAAAAGCAACTTTTATGAATTATTTTTAAAGAATCAATTTTGCTCAATCCTCGAATTGAACTTTAAACCTCTTGTTAAGCGGAAGTTTTGTGTTCATTTGAGTTTAATTATGCTAAATAATAATTTTATAAATAATTTCAACCTACTAAGAGTTAAACAATATAAGCTAGGTATCGAGTTGTAACAAACATTCTTAAATAAAGAAAAATATTTCTATATAAACTGTATTCATAGGAAAAGGTCGTATGGGACCATAGTCCCTGAAAGTCCATAAAGCAGAAAGTATGACCCAAATATAGGCATTGTTTGTTTAGGTCGACCATGGATACTGGAACTTAAACCATTATTCAGTATATGTCGGTAAATGATATATCGTGTGTGAACCATTTTTTATACTGATATCGGTAACCTAATAGGTATACTTTGCCTCTTTTGAGGGTATCGAGGTCGGGAAGTGATTTTCGAAAAGATTTTACCTACTTAATAAAATTTGTAAATTTACACTATAAATATTAATCGTTAAACATCACAATTTTCTGTAGGAACTAGGTATTTCTCATGAGACATACTAAATTTATTTAATATGTTTTCGGCTTACTCACATAATTATTTGACGAGGAATTCGACTAGTTTCAAGCCATGCTAGAGGTGTGTAGCAGCGCGATAGTCGCCGCATCGCGGGTCGCGGAATGCTGCTCATGGATGAGCCTTTCTCATGTATAAAATTGAGAAATATACGTAACTTTATATATTTCTTTATAAGTATGTCTGATGATCTTTTGAGAAACACAGATTTAGTAAAGTGAACTTAGAAAGAGTTGATCCTAATAGTGTTTATTTATATTTATGTTTAAGTTCATAAGTTCAAGGATTGGCCGCAAAAAGCTTTACATAGAGAGGAGTGGAAGGAGGGTACTTTACCCTGCAGTGGGACGATCATGGCTGAAAATAAATAAATAAATAAAATAAATTAAGTTCATACCACTTGAATGCCCGTAGGTTTTAAGATTACCTACACTTATTAAAAGAAAGCCAATAATTTAGCTTAAAAAGATACTGTCTTAAAAGAAGCTACGTAAAGTCGAATATTATATCTATTGCTTTACCATTAATATTATAAATTAATGGTCCCACATAATTGATAAATGTATTCGTAATATTGTCGTACTTCACTCGTGTCTCTATGAGGATATGAATTTTCCTTCCTTTTGGCATTTTGCCCGGAACATTATCGCAACTCATTCCACATGTTTGTGTTAACGCATTATTTTTTGTTTTATTATTACATATTAAGATACAGTCAACATTATGTTAGTAAGGATGTGTTAATCATTTATTAACTTGACATTTATGTCAATGTGTTAAGAGTTCTATCCTGCACATTTTATTTAAAATCAGTGTAGTAACACGCACCATATGTTATGTTTCAATTTTTTTACATCATCCACTCTTTTGTTTTGCTGTCATTTGGGGTATCTAAATATCCAGACGTTTTACCGTTTTTGCAACTAAAATTACATGGGAACTGTAAGTACCATAACAATTTTAATTAAACTTTTATCAAAAAGATATGCAACGCAACATACATTATTTTCCGATACACGAACGAGTACAATATGCCGCAGCATAATCCATATTAAACAATCAAAACGGAGTGGAAGCCAACATTGGCCACAATGAAAATTCGGCATTGTGCTGTGCTCTGTCAGTATGTCCGTAGTCCACACACATTTCTGGCGATCCCGTGTAATGGGCCACGTAAATACGAGCTGCGACCGACGGCCCACCAATTACAAAATCATTAATAAACACCCTGAAATATGAAGTGGTGAAATAATAAAGTCTGAACGACTCGCGGCCGGCGCAAATTGTCGGTTACCAGCCGTTGCTTGCGATTTATTCATAAAAGTAAATTAGCCACGTGTACCCAATGTTGGTTTATTGGATAGCCTCGGCAAAGACTGTTATTATTAACAATATTGGACGGTTTAAAGGAAATGTTGGTCAAACCATTGGTGAGATATTAGATCATTTAGGAGATGAAGTTGCGAAACGTGATGTCATTTTGGCGACCGACAATGTGATATTGAGAAAGAATTCACGAAACGAACTTGATTAACTGCAGAAGGCTCGCCCACTTACCAAATACCAACAAATATCATGAGTGCTGAAGTGGGTGTACACTTCTGTCTACCTTTTCTTGGTAAACAAGTGTAATATTATGTTAAGCAAGTTAAAGTGTACGTGAGCTGTTCTAGCACGTGTCAAGTACATATCAAGAGAACTGAGCTCAAGTATTCTTGCTTAACTTCTACTTACAAAGAAAGTATAAACTTTTCACAAGATTGTGAGAGTTTCCTATTATAAACTATGAAGTTTTAACCTTTCATATACTTTAGATAGTCTAAAACAGCTGCGAAAGATGTTAAGCTCTCGTTACTTGATAGTGCTAAGGAATAAAACTGGTTATCTTTAGAACAAAACAGCTACACTCCTTTGTGGGAACTAAGAGCGGTGTTTTGAACCAGGCATTATGATAGACCCGACAACATAGCAAAACGAGAGAGGCATTGGTTGCGAATCTGACACAACATAAGAGCATTGATGCCACCAAGAAACCACTATTGTGGTCAATTGACCTACCCGAGAGTCTGTGTGTCAGTCAGTTTATGTCTAAGTACTGAATCGTCAGTGGAGGTTGATAGAGTCTTTAAATCCAAAAAAAAAACATTCGAGCAATCTGTGGAGCTCATTTTTTAGACAGTTGTAAGCCACTGTTTCAAAAACTAAACGTCCTACCGTTACTATGTCTTTACATTTTTTTAAATATGCACTTTTGTAAAAAGAAATTACAATCTATTTGAAACTTTGGAAGACAGGCCAAATAGCCGAACACGGCATAGGTAAATACAAACTTCGTTTACCACGAATAAAATTAAATCATTTATGTATATTATATGTTCACAATAATTTATAATAAATTACCAAATAGTTTACAAGAATTACCTTCGACATTATTTAAGAAAATACTTTTGCTATGAAAGAGTTGCTATAGTAATTAAGGACTATTTAGAAGATAAGTCGATAGAATCTAGATAGTGTAATTTTAATAATAAATTTGCACGCCATATACGCGATATGTTGAAAAAAAAATTGCACTGTAACACCCTTTGTACCGTATTTTAAGCAAATAAAATTGTTTGATTTGATTTGATAAATAAAAGAAAATAATTTAAGCGCCTAAGCGCCCATAACAAGACCTTTAACCCGTAAGAATACAGCTTTTATGGAAAATATGGGACCTAAGTACCTAATAGCTAGTTGTTTATCCTTATCGTATTATCCATGTATCACTTAAATAAACCGATTTCCTCATAATGGCACTCCTACGCAGGCCGTATTAGAAATTCACGTATAAGCAACTCGTTATCGCCTTAGACGTTTTCTTTCAGCCTATCAGTGTTCAGATCTTTGCTTATCTAAAGAATGTATATTGTATAAATACTGTTTCCTTTTATACCTTAGTTCTGTTTATAGATATTATACCTAATTGATTGAACATTAGATCTATGTTAATTGGTTTGTATATTTGTTACGTTTTTAGGAATAGATAAAATGGCTTATTTATGCGAATTAGGTAAATAATTATTATTCTTCATATGAACGAAGTCGCGTATGAATTAAGTTGTAAAGTAAAATTTGCCGGTATTTACTTTCTATGCATAATAAACAACACAGAACTCTTAGCTTACATTAATAAAGATCCTTGTTATGAGCGAAAATCGCAATAAGACCAACAAAACAAAACCTTTAGACAATTTCAAGGAATCTTGAGTTTCTCGAGAAGTACATCAAATATAATACGAAGTAAGACGAAATAATACGGAGTTATACGAAACAGCTCTGATGCAAACGCAAATAAATAAACTAAGACATAAATTATTCGGTATTTTCGAAGCGTAGTCTTGTCGTTTATATATTTTTACTGCTAGAACAACGAAATCAATTCCGCTGCAGACGTTGCGACCAATTTATGGTAACAAGTTTCAGTTTTACGATATGCAAATATAATTTAAATCTATTTCAGCTAATGTTATTTCGTATGCATTGCCATATTTAATTTTGGGTGTGATTTAAGATTAGGTCTGTTAAATCTTAGGGTGAGTCCACATCTGGCGAATGTTTCGCAAAAGCGCAGTTTGCAAACAGCTCGCGAGCTGCTCGCGTACATTTAAAATTATTATTTATATGAACCTCGTATAGCTGTTGAGCACCAA